GAGATTTTTCAAGTTTAGGATTTTTTTGTCTCGAAACTATTCATTATTGGTCGAAACGGCTCCTATGTTTCCATCCTAATTTTTGATTAACTGTCTATTGAGATTTGATTGGAACATTTACAGGGTGGTCCAAGATTCAGAATTCTGATCACCCTGTATCTGTTCCAATTATTAAATGTCAGTAGATAGTGAATCAAGAGTTGAGATATGGACATGAAAGCCGTTTTGACTGATGATGAATAGTTTCGTCTCAAAAAAATCCTAAAGTTGAAAAATCTCGATTTTGAACACCCTATATCTCTGTAATCATTCCCGATAGACCCCAAGTGTGATACATTGAGCAAATCAGCTTTTCAGGGAGAATCTAAAAATACAATGAAAAATAGGGTGTTCCATATAAAAAAATCAAATGGTACCCTGTAGATCGTTTGTTCTGAGCACCCTGTATTTTCTGATGTAGCGAAAAAAAATCATTCAAGATGATATTTCAAATTTTGAAATCGGTTTAAAAATAATTGAGCTAGAGGGGGGGACATTTATGGTGAATCACCCTGTACACATAACCAAAAAATTAAATTGTCCACCAAGAACCACGAGGTTAGAGCAATCTCGCCAGGGGAAATGGGGAAAGAAAAAGGAGGTGGATAAGGGTTAGTTGGTATGAAAAAATAATAACAAGAAAGTCGAAAAAATAAAATGAAAGAAAATAAAAATAAAATAACTCGTGAACAAAAAATATTTATATTCTGTTGAAAACGTAATGTAAACTCAAAAAAATCAACATAACCGACAACCACTCACCAAACGCGAGAAGCACAACAATGACTAATCGAGTAATCGGGTCTACGCCGTTCCTGTAACAAGCCACCCCACTGACCTCACTCCTTCGTAGTCGGCTGGCCGAGCCCGCGTGCAGGGTGCAGCCGTAGGTATAATGTTTCCCGCGATGCGATGGATGCATAAATATTATTTAGGTAGTTTATAACCGCTACATGCGTCTTTGAAAATAAATGATATTCTGGAAGTTATACATTTATTACATTTTCGTCACCAGAGCTTTTTTACGATGTTTCAATGCCTACTCAGCTCTTGGACTGCTGACATTTTTCTTGCCATATTACCTACAGTCGTCTTCAGCGAACATGTCGCGGTTGGATGGTACGAGCGCTTTTATTGCAGCAGTGATCAAGGGAGCTGACACCGTCCATGTGCGACATGATCTCTGAAGACGACTGTACATAGGTAGAGGCACAGTATGTTACATTACAGCAATATTCAAATTGAATTATAACTTATTGACGCTCAGAAGCACTGAAGGAAAATTCTGATACCAATATTAGATGGATATGTTGAATTATGAATTACTGAAAAATTGCAAATTCAAAAATCACCAGTCACCAGTCATTTTTACTGCAACTACTGCAAGCGTAAACAAAAACATGGAAATTATTTTTCTTTTCAGTTTGTACATTTCAAATTCCAACATCAACTTACAAATAAGTATAGGAATTAAAATTATAAATACCTACAATGTAAAATGAAAATAGAATGTCAATCATGCCAATCCGTATATTAAAAATTAGGTCGGAATGGTTCGATACGGTGCACAGCGATCGCACTGCAAACAACTGATACTGATAAGTACGATCGATACGTTGGACGGCCAGCAGAGCTTGGCCGCACCCAAGGTATGACGCATATAAGCGAAAATTTAAACTTGAAGCGGGGAATCTGTAGGCGATGCCTGTGGTGATGCGTCGAGACATGAAATCACCGATCGGCCGGCCGTCTGCATCAGTGTAATGAGCTACGCGAGCGTTTCGACTGAAAGCGACGTTTTGACGATGGGATTACCAGATGTCGTAGGTCCTGAATTAGTTCGTGACTTTCGGTGTATATGCGGATGGCATACTCAAAGGTTCCATGAATGAAATTCAAATAATAGTGGCATAACCGAGGGCATAACAGTAGGATAATGAGCGATGAATTATGAAAACAGTTTCGGAAAATAATTTTATTCATCAAATAGTTCAGTAATTTTCCCCAAATTATTTGGTACGGCCCGGCCGACCCTGCCGTCCCTGACGAGCCGTCACTGAAATTAACTATAAATAATTTCTATGAACTGACCATCAAACTTCAAAGTCAAATCAATTCATCAAAAACAGCTCATTGTTTCTCCGTTGAATTGGAAATTATAGACTTTTTATCAATGAGAGCTTCATTAGGATTCCAAATCATTGTTTTGTATGCCATAATATAACTTGGGCCTTCTCATGGAGCTATGGGGCTATCCGGCTCTTGTTTTCGTACTAGATTAGTGTTAATTGTAATGAAGTACTAAATGTATATGAAATGTACTAGAAAATTACAATAGTACTAAAAGCGGCAACTCTGGACAGAATCGTTATAATCCTTGATCGGAGCCCGGTGTTGCTGTTGCGGCGTTGCCAGCTGCTGAACATGAAATGTCGCAAAAAGTTACGAAAAAAACCGCTAGAAGTCGCTAGCGAGCAAAAAGCCCGCCACGAGCGAAATTTTTGAAAATTTAGCGATTCTTTTCCGTGATTTAGCGACATTTTTGATCACCTTTACTCATTTCCAGGCAAGTTTCAACATCAGATAAAAAATCGTGGATACCTTTTATTCAGAATAACAAATAACATAAAGCAGTCCATAGTGCTCAAAGTGAAGTGGTAATAATTGAAGGAAGAAAAATTCTCCAAGACATCTCCACGACATTTAATATATGGAGATGACTTCGATTTCTTTTTCTTTATGAAATAATAATATAAATTTTCCTATAACATTTCATTCGGTACTGTACCTATAGGTACATTAGTGAATCACATAATCTATCCATCGGACTGTAGGGTTACCATCTTAGCCGTTCTGTGGCTAAATCTAGAGTGTTTAGGGTAGGTGAATGCGACATTTCAACTTGATTTGCGACGTGTCGGATTCTAGCGTTTTCAAGATAGTTATAGCGATTTTCATGGAGATATTCGGATTACATGAATTTGTAACGACGAATATGAATTCACATTAGTAATATTCTTTTCACCAACTTTGACTGAGATTGACCAAGATTCTCAGTGCAGCTCAATAGCTCAGTTATATAACATGTTTCATTTAGCTTAGTCTGATGTGAATTGTCTTAAGAACTTATTGAGACCATTTATTTCCCCTCACCCCAACTGAGCTTGCTATTCATCGTGTTGTAGTGACAAAAAGGTGAGACTGGATTAATTCTAGTAATTCTGTGGTTCTGTGCTGAAAATTGTGAGGTTATATTTTCATTTTGTCAAGCTTTCAGCTTTGAAGTTACAGTCCACAGGTTGAATCCTATGAATACTCACTAAAATAATATTTCTGTGCTCCTCATTGATTTCCTCGGTCATTTTACATTTTGGTTGAATTATGTTAGGTTATGTTTTCTTCCCTTGCCCTTCTGACAGATGAAAGTGTGTTCTTTTTATCCAATCGACAACTCAGATCCATCTCACCTCCTTCTAACTCAATTGATCTCAAGAATATGACAGATGACAGGTTTTGTTATCATCATTGTGACACTCCTTCCACATCATTCGTATAATATTTTGTCTATTTGACATGGTTTAGAAAACTAATGCTTGTTGTGAAAGGAAGAAATGTGACTTATAACTTGACTAATATATATAACAATGAAGTCGCATTTCTGAATGATGTTGAACAGTTAGAAAGATGAGTTGTCATGTTATGACAGTTTAATTAACGTCTGATTTGTCCAGAGAAATACTTCAAATACGTCTGAGGGATATATTTTGTGTTTTGAATTGACTCGGCCGTTACTTGATGGAAATCCATGACAAATGTAAAAACTTCACGAACGATAGATTTCCACAAAAATCTTAAACACACAACATTACAAACAACGCTAACACAGTAGCTTTGTCAGGTGATATACTGATACAATGAAATAAACCAACCTTGGCTTGCTTAACTTTTATATATCCTACTTTTCCAACTTGAAGGATTAGTTACCTGTGGACAGGTTCGATAAACCTTCATTTTCGGAAATTAGGCACAATATCTACATTGAAATACAGTGTACCGGCACAGTATATTATCCTTTCACGAGAAAGAATAATATATACTGTGGTACCGGATCAACTTGAAAGGGTTGATAGCAAATACAATATACCGACTATGAAAACAAATTCAACAGTGGTGAACTATTGAGATCTTATTGATAGTTGAGTTTGTTGATTTCTAATAAAGAACTCAATATCACAAAACAGATTGCAGTCAACAACGGATATAACGTTGATTTGATAGAGAGCATTCTTTCTGAAAAACTTCATTATAATAAAGCTATTCAAGAAGTTTATCCTACCATCAAGAATAATAATCAAAATAAGTAATAGAACTTTAACCTATTTAGGATCATCAACTGAAAAATTATAAGCTATAGCTTCATTTCTACATAAACAGGACTTGAAAGTAGCATATAGAACAAATAACACGTTGGGAAGGTTTATCAAAAATAATAAAGACAAAACTTCTGAATTCGAAAAATCAGGAGTATACAAACTCAAATGTGGATTTCGTCCTAAGGTATATATCGGTCAGACAGGTCGTACGTTTAATCAGCGCATTCATGAACAAAAGATGCATTTTTTGAAAAAAAAAAAACACTAAAATTATACACTGTTTCCAGTTGTGAGGGATCCTTTCAGAAGGAATACTCAAGGGAGGTCTATAATAAAACAAATTCAACGTCAAGTGCTGAGGAGTCCTCAAAGAATCCTTAGATAAGGTATACTTAAGGAGTTCTTGATGAAACGACTATAAATACGGGCCTTAATACCCTCAAAATATTTTTTTTGGTATTTTTAGGCATGAAAAAAAAAACTTGCCGCCACTGGGTCTTCGGCAATGTTCTGAGATTTTGGCTGCTATCTTTGGCTGTCATCTTCACACAGCTGGTGACGTTTTGATTTTGACGTTTTCGAAGTTTGGTTAAGTGGTGTGTTCAAATTTCAATGTTTCAAATAACTAGTTGGTAAATATCTAGTTTTTATTGTCTTTATTATCGTTTTTCCAATTACTTACTCTGAAAAATTCGAAATTAACTGATAGATAGTGGCCGAGGATTTGATATTGGACTCTTTTATGTATATTTCCTTGGATTAAAAAAATCTCAGGATTATGGATTATTTAAGATTTGTTGCAGAATATTATGGCTGATGATAACTCTATGGAAGTAAAACGGGAAGTAATTCGAAATTTAAACGTTCATTATGGAAGAAGGTTACTGGATTTACAAGAATGTTTGAAATTACTTGAATGTAAGAAGCAAGAAAAAGCAGATATTGAAAACAAGGTTTGTGATCCTTATTACAATAGTAATTTTTGTATCTAGTGCGCGAAATGCTACTCTGGTGATTTTTTCAACTCGGCTGCGCCTCGTTGAAAATTCAGTTCTTGATCACCAAAGTATTTCGCCCATGAGTTGCAAACAAAATTTTTTCTACAAACATCAAAATATATAGTTCTGAAGTACTAATATACTTAGCTTAATATAAAGAATAGTGTTGTACTGGCTTTAAAGATATAGGCTTTAGGTATACAGGAAGTTCCAGGAACATTATAGGAATATCCTTTCCTGTGGTCCAAGAGATAAAAAAGAATGAATGTTAAACATTTAGGAATAAATGATTTCTTGGATGTTTGCTCAATTGAGGACAATAAAGTTAAAATATAAAAATCTCATATAGTTTACATACAATGCACTAAGTATATGTACTTAGCACTGCTCTGTAGGAAACTGAAAAAAAGTGTCACTTGCAAAATATAGATCCAGAGATAATATAACATCATTGGTGGGCCACCAGTAACACCTTGGTAGGGGCATAGATTATATTTTTTACTATTTTCAGTTCAAAATATGACAAAAACACATTTTTCCAGGAATTTCTCAATTCCCAAATTGGTTAGTTTCAAGGATACCAGGTGTTGAGATTTGAAAATGAAATTAGGATTCTAAGTTACTCAAAAACGCCTGAATTTTTCTCCATGATAGTTATTTATTTTTCACTTGTCCATTAATGCTTTATAATACCTTGGCAATGGTTGCTATTAACAGACCCATAACGCCTGCTAATTGTTTTTTCTGTAGTTCATAAAATTACATACCAATTCTTAATAGTACAATAATCCTTGTCATATATACATGAGTCTGGATTTCTCTGAAAATAAATTAATCAAAGCCTTGTCTGCATATTTCATGATATTCATGGGCAAATAACTATTATGTATGTGCCTTATATAGATCCTAACACCCAGAGTTTAACCTTCACCCAAGGGATGAATGCTGCCCTAGGAACTAGTAATGCTGGTGGTGCATGCAAGATTTTATTTTTCACAAAAAAATGATCTTATTATAATGAATAATTATAAAAAGAGGTTCATTGCTTCTAGCATTCTCTTTCCATTTTTCTTCTCATGGTAGGCATGCCATTTGTTGATATTTTGACGTTTGTTGAATATTGCTGTCATCATTTCATTTAGTGAATGTCATTGCTGCTCTCTTTGTGTAGTCTTATACAGGGTGTTTCACAGGTAAAGGGAAATATTTCAATGGTAGATAGGGGTCACCAAGGTGGTTCTGAAAATACCATATTTGATAGGTCTTAGAGTTTTCATGACGGAGATACAGGGCGATTTATCGATTTGGAATAATTATTCATTCGTCTATAAGTATTGAACTACCCAGTATATTTTTCTAAAGTTTTGTATGGAGCTCAAACTTGGGATGTTGAATTCATTCACCTATCGGGCGAAGAGAAAATCCAGGTTCGGCTTCAGGAAAAATTCACATTTATTCGAAATATTAAAATAACACACTGTATGTAATAATTGACAGAGTTCATCAAAGGAATCGTGAAGAGGAGGAAAAACTGAACTTGATTTGATGATTTTTGTTTTGCCGCCACCAATTCTCATCGTAACAATCAAAAACAGAAAGCTGAAAGTACGTCAATTTGAAGAGTATTGAAATTATGAAACCAGTGTCAATTATGATTATTCGATATATTTCAGTCAAAAAATCGCTCGAAAGAACTTACTAAGTCTCACAGTTTTTATAACGGAGATACAGGGTGAATTATCGGTTTTGAATAATTATTCACTCGTCCATAAGTATAAAACTACCCAGGAACATTTTCTCTAATATGGTATGTAGCTTACTTGGGACGATGGATTCATTAACCTATCAGGCGAAATTATAATTCGATAATTCACCATGTATCTCTGTTATAAAGACTATGAGACTTTTCCTGAAGCTGAACCTGTATATTTTAATTCTGCCTGATAGGTCAATGAATCCATCGTCTCAAGTAAGCTCAATACCAAATTTGAGAAAATATTACTGCGATGGGTAGTTTAATACTTATGGACGAATGATAATTCACCCTGTATCTCGGTTATAAAGATTGTGAGACTAAGTAAGTTCTTTCGAACGATCATTTAACAAGAATATATCAAATAATCATAATTGAAAGTGGTTTCATAATTTTAATACTCTTGAAATTGACATACTTTTAGCTTCCTGTTTATAATTGTTACGATGAGAATTGGTGGCGGGAAAACAAAAAGCATCAAATCCAGTTCAGTTTTTCCTCCTCTTCACGATTCTTTTGATGAGCTTTGTCAATTATTACATACAGTGTGTCATTTTAATATTTCGAATAAATGTAAATTTTTCCTGAAGCCGAACCTGGATTTTCACTTCGCCCGATAGGTGAATGAATTCAACGTCCCAAGTTTAAGCTCTATACCAAATTTTAGAAAAATATACTGGGTAAATCAATACTTATAGACGAATGAATAATTATTCGAAATCGATAAATCGCCCTGTATTTCCGTTATGAAAACTCTAAGACCTATCAAATATGGTATTTTTAGAACCACCTTGGTGACCCTTATCTACCATTGAAATATTCCCCTTTACCTGTGAAACACCCTGTATAACGCCCAGGATGGGTCTGTTAATAGCAACCATTGCCAAGGTATTATAAAACAGTAATGGACAAGTGAAAAATAAAGTTTTATACATGTCTCACTAACGCCCCCCCCTCTATATCTCAGCTATTAGTCCTGTGATTCACACAAAATTTGGACTGGTATGAATATAATAACCATCAATATGATCAGTTTTTTACAGTCAAACATCATTATGAACAGTGCAGTGCGTTTTTATTGAAATAAAAATGGGTCTCTTTTTCATGAAAGCATATTATGATTTTTTGCAGTAAAACTAACTTCATATTATTGTTCCTCATGCTTCAAATCTCCATAGGTATTCAAGAAATAGAATTCCAAATTAACATGATTTGCTTGATTTTTTTAATTTTCTGCATCGAAAAAAGATTGATGATGAATGAATCAATAAATGATGAAAGATGAATGAATGAAAACTACAAAAAATATGGATACAATTGAAAAGTAAAAAATGGAAGGTATAGGTGCATATCAGAGGAAAGCATCTCTGTTCTTCATAAGCATAAAGAAATCTTCCACATTACAAAGAGGAGTTGCTGTTAGAAAATATTCAACTTTGATTAGTTTGATTTGAACATGTTGATTCACGAAAATCAGAGGGCAAGGAATTAAGAAGCCTCACACCTATGTCATCACATCCTTTTAAGCGTGTGCGGAGCAGTATCAGATTGTTATTTTTCTTGGTGTTGTGTGAGTGAACATCAGAATGTACCTTATAAATATTTAAGTTGCTCCTTACTTTTACTAATTTCTCATATACCATTAGAGAGTACATCAGTGTCATCAATTGGAGTTCCATAAACAGTGGTTTGCTGTATACTTCTCTTTTCACATTCAATATAATCCTTATGGCATATTTTTGTGCCAGGAAAAGTTTATGTAGATGTATTTTGGATGCTGAGCACCAGACATTTATTCCATGCTTGAGGGTAGATTCAAAAAGAGAATAAATAGTAAGTCATAATGGCAGCTGTCGTTTTTTTTTATAGCATAGATCACATAATTTAATTTGTTGCATAATTGGGTTATATGGGTGCTCCTCATGAGCCTGCTTACATCAATGTTCATCCCTTCATTGGGGATATCAACAATTTTAGTTATTCTCGATTCAAATACGAGTTTCTTACTTTTCCTTTCATTCAGAAATAATTGATTTGGGACGAAACATGATCTTAGGGATTCTACATTTGGTGGATCATTCATGTATATTCAAAATAGCAGAGGGCTCAACACCGATCCTTGGGGAACACCTCTAATTATCTGTTGGGGTCTGGTTACTATCATAACTCTAATCTCGATTTCCCAGGTATGAAACAATTAAGTTCAGGACCACCCCTAATACCATAATATTCTCATTTCCATGTTCAACACAATAAATGGCTGCACAACTCCCTAGGAAATGCCGTTTAGATGTGCCTGTTGTTCTGAAACTTTCTATAAAAATTATATGAAATTTCACATGTATGGTAGTTGAAAACAGAGGTGAAAACCAAGTACAACTATTATGAGGTTAATTTTTCTGTTAAAAAATCCTTATATGATCTGATGAAAAATCGACTCCTTTTTATTTCAATGAACATGCACGGCACTGTCCAAAATGATTTTAGTTTCTGAAAAACTGATCAAATTTATATTCGTTGATAAAAGGCCAAATTTGGTTAGAAATGCTAGACCAATAGCTGAGATATAGAGGAGGGCCGTATAAAGTGAGACACGCTGTAAATGATTTTGATGTATTCAGCTTCTCATTTATTAGGTTCAAAAATGGAGACAGACAAGTTCTGTACAATCAGTCCTTCTCAATTAGTTGAATACAGAATACATTGCCAAATAATAATAATATTATTTCTGGTGTTGAGTTGGCGGGAATTTGGTCGAAATGTTGAAGAAAACCAATTTTTAAATTGTCGACGTTTCGAAACTTTATTGATTCATCTTCAGGACACTGAAGTAAAACAAGAACATACATATTAAAATGATATTTTTAAATGGGGGGTTTTGATAAAAGCAAAATAAGTTATGTAAAATAACAATGTTGGAATTGTAAATATTAGGATGTATCCTATATTGAATAATTTCTATTCTTTTCTATAGAAATCATATTCAACGGTCGCCATTCTATTGAACAATAATAATATTGTCAAGCCTTGTACTATTAGTTACTAAGCACAAATACTTATCTTAAGCATTATACAGGGTGTTTCAAAAAAACCTAACCTCCTTGATAGGGTAGGTAGAACATTGCAAAATGGGTTGGGTTTGCTCTGTGGAAAGATGTCGTAACGGCATCCGTTTTCTAGATACAAGGTGTTAAAAAAATATTACTTTGCACATTTTTTACGATTATGTTGAAACTACTGGCAACATTGTGATGAAATTTTGTATGTATGTGTTCTGAATGCTGACACACCGGGTTTGCTCTGTGAAAAGATGTCGTAACGGCATCCGTTTTCAAGATACAAGGTGTTCAAAAAATATTATATTGCACATTTTTTACGATTATGTCGAAACTACTGGCAACATTGTGATGAAATTTTGTATGTATGTGTTCTGAATGCTGACACACCGCATGAATTCGTTTTTATATCTGACACTCATAAGAGGGCGCTAGTTACACGATTCGTACCGTGTACTTTTGAACATAACTTTTTTGAGGTTAGATTTTTCAGTCCAAATTCAATGTGAACTTGAACACCATTCAATTTTTCACCAAAATAATGCTCTTGGTAAAACTCGATATTGTGTACCGTTTTCGAAATATTTCTTTCTGAAAATGCTGAAGCAATAACTCTGATTCTGCTATTGGAATAAGTAATATAAAAAACAACTATCAATTTATTAAGGACAAAAAACATTGACATTATTTTACTGCTGAAGTTATCGATTGAACAAAATCACATCAGAAAATATTTAATTAAATTTAACTTGAAACATCGTCTAGTTAGAGTAAGTGTTCAAAACGTCCTCCGTTTTCACGAATACACAATTCGATCCCTTTTTCTAAAGAATACATCAATCTTCTCAACGGTAGAGGATCAGCTATGAGATCATCGAAGTGATGTTCAATTCTTTCTTGCAGCTCTTGACGTGAATTTACCTCTGTAGCATATAATTTTTCCTTGATATAGGACCAAACTGTGTAGTCCAATGGATTGAAATCACATGAACGTGGAGGCCAATGAATCGGAGCTTCTGCACCTTTACCAATCCATCAATTCGGATAATGGTTGCTCAACCAATCACGGTACCTTCTATCAAAATGTGGGGGAGCTCCATCATGCATGAAAAAGAGAGTCATTCGCTCATTCAGCGTTAAATACCTCGAATAACTGATTTTCTAAAAACTAGAGGTAAAAAAAAAATTGTAAAATTTGTATATCGCTACTTCAAAGTTGGGAACCAACTCCCCAGAAGTCGAAACTTGTGCGGGGTTAGGAAGAGCGGGACCTACAGCTTATAGTGGAATCCGAATCACTTCTAGGGCATCGAGGTGACGCCAGGATTACAACCATGAATCACACATTTTAAAGAAAAATGCTCAGCCGACAGCCGGATTCGAACCGACAGTACCTCTGCATCGTGAACGGCTATCTAACGAATTTCAGCGCATAGACAAACTCGGCCACGGAGCCCATATAGGTAGAGGTAGAGGTAGAGGTAGAGGTACATATTACCATTCAAATTTCGAGGTAGAATGTGATAACCAATCAATTTGTTACCGAAAGTTGCTGCCCAAACATTAACTTTAAACGAGTGTTGCTAATGTGATACCCTTTCAACATGATTGTGGATTTTCATCACACCAGTAGTGTGCATTATGAGAATTGAACATTCCTTGTCGCGTAAAGGTGGCTTCGTCGGTGAAAAGGATACATTTCAAAAAATTTGGATTGATGGCTGTCCTTGCTTGTAAAGTTTCACAAAAATCCACTCTGTTAGATCGTCTGGCAAGAGCTCTTGGACTTGTCTGTAATGATAAGGATGCAGATGACGTATTTGTTTGTCTTGCCATATTCCTAACGATAATTGTTGGATCTTGATCAACTAAATTTAAAATAATATTTCTTTTTGGAATGGACCTTATTGTTCTAGGTCTAACAAAATTATTTTTTCTTGGTCTCACATTACCAGTTTCTCGACAACGTTGTTCCACGACTCTGATCGTGTTTTTATTCGGTAGGTTTCTTCTGGGAAACCTTTCGACATAACGCGTAACCGCTAAACAGGCGTTTCCCTGAACACTCGCCTAAGATCAATACCATATCGGTGTATTCAGCATTTGAATACATTCTGATTATTAAACAACGTATTTATCAACAATTAATCGATGTTATTGACATTAGTCTCGACTATCGATAAATGTCAGTTTTCCAAAGGTAACTCAGACAAAACAATTTTGAGAATTCCTCCGTCGTTCGCCGCGTGTGTGCTCTACGTGGCGCTCGGGTCGTCTGCTACAAACCATGCGGCCACGCAGGGTATGATAGCAGCAGAATTCCTCTTTCACATGAACTTTGAATCATGAGAAAATATGCATTTTTAACAAAGTTATTGAATAATTTGTCCCCCCGCCGATGTGTAAATACACGGACGAGTGCTCTCCGGCATACAACAGAAGCTCATTATTCGAGGTGCGCTTCGTGCCGTTTTTCTCGAAACCGGGCAAATTTTCGAGAAAAATGATAAGGACCATTTTTGTAGTAAATTAACTGAACTTCAATTTTTATCTGAACCGAAAATCTCTAACTGCCATATTTTAGGAGATATTGGCTGAAAACCTATTTTCCTGGTCTTTTGGGGCCATTTTCTCCGCCATCGCACACGTTTTCCAGTCAAACTTTGTCTCATGTTTAATGAGGTACCAAAAGCTACTTCCAACCGGAAGATGAAAATAGTGCGTAATTAATGTCAACTTTTTCCCTTTGTTTATTGGACTAATTCGAAATATCCCGAAAACGCATTATCAAGTTTTACCACGAGCACCTTTTGAGTGTAAAATTTAATGATGTTCGAGTTCACATTAAATTTGGACTGAAAAATCTCAAATTCATGCGATGTCTCAGCTTTCAAAATAGATCCATAAAAATGTCATCACAATGTTGGCAGTAGTTTCAACATAATCGTAAAAAATGTGTCAAAAAAATATTTTTTCAAAACGGATGGCGTTACGACATTTTTTTACTGAGCAAATCCAACCAGTTTGCAATGTTCTACCCACCCTAGCAAGGAGGTTAGGTTTTTTTGAAACACCCTTTATAACTAGGAAACATACCCAGTACTATATTATACATTGTATGTGATAATGTGCCACTCTATTATTGGGCAGTGAAACACCTGCCAGTTGGGTGGCCTCAAAATTTCAAATAAATATATCATTGAATATATCATTTGTATACTACGAATAAATGTTCTTTTGATATGTTCAAATAATAATATATTGTTGGACGTTCTTGGTATATCCCTACCCAGAAATAATGTTTTGAGTATAAAGATGATGTAAGGTCGCACTATGTCGCACTTATGTACGTGATAAATAATTCGAAAAATTTGCATGCACATTGTACAGTTCTACAGAGAATTTCGATCTTGCTGAGGGTCCTTCAAAACATATTTTTGTTCCATCATAATTATATAGACCTATGTTTGTTTCTCATTTATAATATGTCTTTATCTTTTCAGTTGGATGTGTTGCATTCTGATAGTTTCATTGGAAATAGTTTGAAAGATGCCGAAAAAGTTATCGAAAATGGAAAAGATTTAATAAGTAGATCAAAAGAAATCATCGAACACATCGAAAAGGATTTGGATGATGTTGATGAAGTGAGAAAAGATATACATAAATACTTCGATAAAATAAATAGATTACAGTGTTTACTACAATACTTCAGAGTTATACAACATATAGAACAATTAAGGTGAGTCAAGCTGAGAGCAAATTTATAATTTCAATAATTGAGGATATTCAGGGCGTTACTGATTTTTTTGTATCGCTTGGAGCGTACGAAAAAGCAACTGCACTCAGCTGATGCTGATTCAATGCGGTTATGATGATAAAATTCGGCCGACTGCAGGCAGAAATATAATGGTGATTGAAGGTGAATCAGGTGGTTTTCTCTTATTGAAAATCATTGGGGAGGATACACTTCTTTTAGCGGTTATAACGACGACAAGCACGATGATAGCAAATCGAGGCAGCAATTTGGTCCTGCTGCGCACAGGTAGACGAAACCAATTAGCATGCGCAATAATTGGAGGGAGGTGCCTTCTTAGCACGAAAAAATATTAAAATATTAGGGGACCTAGGGGGCCAAGAATGAGGGTCGCCACGAACTATCCAGCGATTAGAGAATTATTGTTTGTCTAGGTATTCTCTCACTAGTATTGAGTACGTGGAGGTGCCCCATCCTGTTGAGAAAAAATACCTATTTCAATCCATCTTCATACATCCATCACAGCCTTCTTTTTCAGTGTTTCCTGAATAATGAACACATCAAACTCACAATTTGATTCGCTGATTGAGAGAGTTCACATCCAATGAGATTATATTCAATATTATCTCGAAAGTTTCTCTATAATTTTTTGTTTATCTCTTGGAAAGGAAATTACTATAATGTTCCAAGAACATCATGCGTTCCTAGGGAGAATAGGGAGAGGAAGTAGGATTTTTTTTTCATATTACTAAGTAAGTCCAGTCCTGGAATTTTTCATCGAATAGAGCGTCTTTTCAGCTCTTATGATACACCGATATGCAAGAAATTGATTTAAATAGATTTGATGAACGCTGTGACTACAATATGCCAGTACGAAATCATCAAATCGTTCATCAGTATTTAGTTCGATATTTTTCCACCAATCCGGTCGAAGGTATCGAGGTATCGAGGTATTTCTGTTACGAATAGGTAAAATATATTTTTTCACATATATATGCTGAAAGTGTTAAGCTCACTTTAATAAAATATGGGTTACGTCCTTAAGCAAATTATGTGTTACAAGAACTTTGAGAAGGTTGTGGATTAGGATTAGTGTTTTTTAACAGTCTTAACTCAATTTTCCACTCTTTGTGGGTTATGACTGTTCACCACCAAAGCGACGATATATCACCTCACCTTGATTCCCTTTATCCGCCATTAGGCTATGATGGCTGTTTAGCCATGACTCACCCTGTATGATGTAATGATATACAACATATCAGATGAATATACACCGTGTCCCAGCTAAAATGTCCCCCCCTATAAAAAATCAACCGTGCGATCGAATGACTTGAAATTTGGTCACCCAGTATATTCGATGATGATCACTCGAAATATGCTACTGAATAAATCGTAGGTATACAGGGTCACAGCGAAGTGCACGAGGAAGTGCACCTAAACTTTCCTATTTGAATAGGGACACCCAGTTTACTCAAACGACTACGAAGATATGCCAAAAAATAAAACGATTCAATAGAAAAATGGTATGATTAGATTTTATTTATATAACACGATTGAAATCGAGTGAAAAGGAAATAACTAAAACCTCAAATGCTCAATATGTCGTTCATTCTGCTGCAAACATTTCCTAGCTCTTTTGATAACGTTCATTGTGACCCTATGTATCACGTTGCGATCAATTTGTGCGCATAAATTTGTGATTTTCTCTTTCATTTCTTTCACATTCACAATTGTCGACTCATAATTCATTGGTTCCAAGTAGCCCCACAAATAAAAATCAAGTGGGGTGTGGTCTGGCAACCGAGCTGGCCAGTTGCTATCACCATCGAGACAATTGGTGGTTATTAGATTTTCTCCAAACTGATGGCGAAGATAATCCTTTACGGGTCTGTAGTTATGTGCAGGACACCCATCATTCGATTTTAATCTTGTTATATTAATAAAATCCAATCATATACATTTTTTATTGAACCTTTTTTTTGCCATATCTTCGTAGTCGTTTGAAAAAATCCCATCAAACCCGGCATTGTTGAATTTGTAATAATGAACTCTACTTGAATATGGAATAATATACTGGGTGTCCCTATTCAAATAAGGAAGTTGAGGTGCACTTCGGTGTGACCCTGTATACCTACGATTTATTCAATAGCATATTTCGAGTGAGCATCATCAAATATACTGGGTGACCAAATTTCAAGTCATTCGATCGCGCGGTTGATTTTTTACAGAGGGGGACATTTTAGCTGGGACACGGTACGGTGTAAAATTGTTATACCTATTATTAGAGAAAAAGCCAAGCCATGCATTTTTCTTTGAATTGTGCATCATTGAAATTTCGACTTTTTATATCTACAGGAAGTGAGTTGAATATTTTAGGTGCTACATAAGAAATATATTTTTGAGATATTCGTTTACATTTTCTTGTAATTTCTGCTATAAGTTGTGAAATTTGTCTGGGTGTTACAATTAGCCATGCTTACAGACTATCAAATTCTGATCTTTGGCAACATTCAACATTAAAAAAAAAAAATATAATACAGTTTTTCAGTCTGAGTACATGGAGATCTTGATATAATAAGTGACTAGGGTACCATTGATTTTTAGTGAAAGTTTTAGAGTTCTATAAAATATCCAATGTATTTATAGTGTTTTGATAGCCACTTCCCCATGCTAAGATATCATACTGCAAGATTGATTGAAATTGAAATTGCGTATTTTATTCAAAATAAAAGCGCTCCTCCGAAGCTTAGTTGCTGTAATTTTCGTTCATCAAATCGCATGCTAGCGTCCAGATTTTATTTCTTCAATAACTAAAATTTTGAATTTACAGTTACATGTTCTAATCATATCATTAGTGCACTTATTGGCAAAAGCACACTTGCTGTAGGCAATGATTTGTCAATGTCACTATAAATAGATTTTGATAAAAGTAACGACGGCTACATTGACCAAACAAGTTTATTGAATTTATGGTTACCCTCTATTACAATGCATGATGAGTTGATAATTTATCATGATTGAATTCTAAAAAAAACGAACCTAACCTGACATATTGTGCAGTAGGTTAGGTTAGGTTCCATGTGAGTGGGGCGAACACCTCCCCTCCACTGCGACCCCAGATGGGTCTATTGTGGCTCACCCCTAGGGGTTACAGTTCACCGTACAATCCACATCTTTTTACAAAGTTCATGGTTGAATTGGGTGAGATTTGTCTGAAATCGATAGGTTCTAAATTGGTAAAGCCAAATGTGTCGAACCTTAGTCTTTCTAAGCTAGAGCATGAACATAACATGTGTTCAGCCGTTTCGTCTTCCACACAACAGAACCGACAGTCCGTTTGTTGGTTCAGACCCATCCTTCCCAGGTGGTATCTTAGACGACAGTGTCCCGTAAGCAGTCCAGTCAGAATTCGCAGGTTACCCCTGCTCCATTCTAGGATCTGTCTGGTTATTTTTTCCGATGGTTTCGGCAGGAACGCCTTCGAATGGGTTAATCCTGGTAATTCAGACCAGTACGTGAGTGTTTTTCCCTCCGCCCAGCCCGAGATAGTGTTGTTTTCGCCGCACTTGCGGTGACCCCAAAATATGGTTCTGGTCCTATGAACACAGATTCGGTTCCCTGTTTGGCGAGGATGTCGGCTTTCTCGTTACCCTCCACCCCCTGGTGTCCAGGCACTCACAGCAAAATGACTCTGTTGTTAGCACCCAGGCATTCTAGGGATTCAATACAGCTCCATACAAGCTTGGAATTTATCTTGCTGGAGCTCAGTGCTTTAAGAGCAGCCTGACTGATACAATACTGATATTTTTGTTTACTAGAGGTTTATTCGACAACTCTCTAGCACACAATTCGATTGCGAATACCTCCGCCTGAAAGATTGTAGCATATTTGCCGAGATTGACGGCAGTAAGTATGTTTATTATTCGTTCGATGCAAAATATACATTGAGTCTCTTAGATTATGTTCAATTCCTTTAATTCTCTGCAAGTTGTTCAACTACTCTTACAAATTGGGGATATTCCCGTCCATCTGGAAAATTGCAAGAGTACAACCAGTTCCTAAAGAAGGCAAAAAGACCCTACCTAGCAACTACAGACCGATCGCACTGCTATCTATTATTTCAAAGATCATGGAGAAAGCTATCAACATCGAGCCCATGAAATACCTGTAACATTCTGGTATTATCAACGATAGGCAATATGGCTTCCGTCATTAGAGATCAGCTGGTGAACTTATATATATATGGCAGCAATCTATTGAAAAATATGGTGAAACCTTAGCCGTGGCACATGATATCTCCAAGGCATTCGATCGAGTCTGGCACCGCGGACTCCTCGCCAAGCTTCCATCTTATGGCTTGCCTCCCCAGCTAGTGTTATCTCAAACAGGTCTCTCCATGTAGTGGTCGACGGAGTTTCATCTGACTCTCTTATCATAAATGCTGGTGTTCCGCAAGGATCAATACTAGCACCAACACTATTTCTACTCCATAACAACGATTTGTTGGAAGCACCTTTTCATGTCCATTACACAGATTCGCGGATGATAGTACCCTCCATACCGCCTTCTCTTGCAGGGCTCCAATTCCAGTCAGGCAAATCAGAAACGAACGAGGGAGAAATGTTGACAACATAAATATGGACTTGGCAACAATTCTCGAATGGGGATCCAATAACTTGGTAGATTTCAATGCAAACAAAACACAAGCATGCCTTTTCTCTAGAAAAGCCGATCTCACTGTGCCCAACATAAGCTTGTCAGGAGTAACCATACCTTTGAAGATATCCATTTCGATGCTTGGGATTACTATCAGCAATAACCTTTCTTGGGAAAATCACGTGAGATCAATTGTTAAAAGTGCATCCCAAAAACTTGGTTTTCTGTTTCGGGCCAGGAGCTATTTCACTTCCAGTCAGCTGCTTATGATCTATAAGGCACAGATCCGACCTGTGCTGGAATACTGTTCCCATATTTGGAGTGCAGTACTCAAACATACCCTGAAACATACCCTGAAAGTTGGCGATCTGGCTCTATTTTATAGATATTTTCATGGACGCTGCTCTTCTGAAATATCAACAATTGTTCCTCCCTTGGCAGTCTCCGCTAGATTAACCCGTCGAATTGAGGCTTCGCATCCCTTCGTTGTCACTTTGGAGACCTGCAGAACATCTCTTTCCAAAGACTCGTTCATCCAACGAACAGCGATGCACTGGAACACATTGCCAAGGGAGGTGTTCCCCGAGGCATATAATCTCCAGAAATTTAAGAACACCAAGTTCTACCTTATTTCCCTTGGTTCTCACGATGTGCTCTGAACATTACAGGATATCCCTTTTCGTGGGAATCAGAACATAAAAAAAATTGAAATCGAAAACTCGTAACATTTCGCGATTAGCTAGAGAAGTGAACATTTTGAACCATACTAACATCGACGCTCCCATATGAATGCATCGAATTAGTATAATTTCGTAGCTCTAATCATCGCTTTTATCGACAATCTCATTGCTGTTGTCGCCGCTCTATCGCTCCAACATGTTGATAACAAGTAATCATCAATTGAAATACTTTTAGTTATCCATGGAGATGGCGCTTATGATCACAATAATCACCTGTAATCACCTAATGCTCTATCATAAGTTTTTTTATCTTCTTTTTGAGTCCTGATTTTCATTCCAGTTTGACCAACAAATTATTACCTATGGCTAAGCTCTATTAGTTCATATCTAATCCGAATAATTTTGTATTTTAGTCGAGAGCTACAAAAAGAAATTGGAAAAAAAGATGATGAAAAGTGTGCAACGTTATTCGCAAATTTAACAGAAATTAATAGGAATTTGGTAGATACGAGAGGAAAACATTTATTGGGTTATTTGAAAGAAACTATATACTATTGGCACAAAATATTGAAAGACAAATTTGCCAAGTGAGTTGAATCAATTTTTATGAACGACATAACGATATTAACATAACAAGTGACTTTTATGTTCTAGAGATTTTGATGAAGTCTTGAAATTAATAAAATGGCCATTCGTTAGTACAAACTTCTCCCTGGTTGTTCCCCTACCTAACCACATACAGAGATTGCAGACGATTTCCGAGTATTTATTGCAAATCGAAATACCAAGTGAGTCAAGTGTTCCAGTAGTTACCTCAGCCTTGCTATCAAACTTTCCACCATTATGTCTGCCTCTACAGCTAATGGTGCTACCTTTGAGAAAACGATTCATTTACCATTTTTATGGTTCTAGACAAACTAATAGGATCGACAAGCCCGAATGGTAAGGTAATATGTTTAATGTATTTTTAACACATCAGTGTCATCAGTAAGGGCTGCTAAATGCGAATGTTTTGAAAATCGTTCAATGCTATATTTTTACTATATTTTATCTGAACCATTGCCAAGTTATCTCATTATTCAAACGAAAACTGACAATAGTTATTGATAAATAATGTCATTATTACCCAGGAGCCAAGATTATAATATCCTGAGGGTTCAGCCTAGGTGCCATGGTTGTAAAATACATCTTTTGATGTTCCTTGATTTATCTTGTTTTGTACAGTGAAATACCGGGAGAATACTCAGTTGTTATTTTATTAAAATTGGAGCATGATACTGATATTCAACCCAGTCAACACACGGACATTCGATGGACATCCATTGGACGTCCATTTAGGATATTTGGGATATCCAGAGAATATCCAGTGATATCCGATGTATATCTTATGGACGTCCAATGGACGTGCCGAGTGGAAGGAGTTGGACTTCTATAGGATATCCTTCAGGGACATCCATAAGACATTTTTCAGGGATATCCATAAGATATTGTTCACAAATATCCATAAGACATTTTTCAGGGATATCCATAAGATATTGTTCACAAATATCCATGAGATATTTTTCAGGGATATTTACTAAATATCCTTAACAATATAGAACACCATGTATATTATTCCATAATGAATTAGGAACTATTATTACGAATTCAACGGTACCGGATTGGATAGGGTTATTTCAAACGATTACGAAGATATTTGCATTCGAAGTTTTCATATGCTCATTTGAGGATATGGAAATGTGAATATCTTCCTAATCGTTTGTAGAAATCCTATCAAACACAGTATCGTTGAATTCGTTATGATAATCCCTAACCGATTATGGAATAAAATACAGGGTGTCCCGTTTGAAAATTCCATCCTCGGTTAAACCAAAAGTGCGGTAAAGCAAGTAGATATCGAATAATATAAAATGAACTATAATTCATGACCCCAATTGACGTTTTACTACCTACAATAATGAAAAAGTTATAGGAGTGAACCACCTTAAAAAATCACCAGGTAGGAGTATGTAAAAAAATAAAATGTATTCAATTGTTGCAAACCGAATAACAAATGTTATAATGTGAATATAAATCAAACTAAATAACATTTTTTATATATAAAAAAACAAGTATACATTCAACAAAGTATAAAATAATAAATATTCTAATTGAATTTGCAAATAACAAAAAATAAAACAGGTCACTATAAAAGAGAATTAAACAAAGGAAATAAAGGAATACTGTTATCATGTGAATATAAAACTAACTAAATTAAAATATGAATATATAAAAAAGAAGTAAACATGCAAAAAAGTATAAAATAATAAAAATTAAATTCACTTAGATTTTTCCATCTTTCTTTTGGAAAATTTGTTATTCACGCGAATGCCATATTGATTTATATTTTATTGCTTCAGAATATTTTATTACTATCCATTGGGAAAATACCTACCCAGTTTTGAATTCAGGGATGCGGATATATCTTCTTATGGATCTCCATCTCAATCCCAAGGAAAAAAATGGAGATACAAGTTATTTCTGAAAAATCATATTTTTGTGCGAAAATGTTGAAGAACAAAAGTTATTTTGACATAAATATGATTTTATGTTTTCTTTGGATATCTTATGGCTATCCATAAGATATCTTCTGATGGATATCCGCTATAAATCCATGGATGAATATCTCATGGATGTCCATCTGAAGACCACAAAAAAGTAAATATATGAGAGCTATTTTCGAGTGATGTATATTTTTGTACGAAAACATTGAACAACAGAGAAAAATTCCAAACTGTGTGGTGTTGTTATTTATATGAATTCATATTTGCATCGGATATCTTAATTGTGGCTATAAACATATTTATACCTACATAACAATAGTTATATGATGGAAAACTACCTTTGAATTTTTAATAAACATGTGATTTGCATGTGATATTTGTGATGATTCGTATTGTTTTGAACCATTCTCAATTAACAATGTTTGTTCGCTAAACGAACATCTTATGGACGTCCATAGGTGATCCGCATCAGAATATCCATTTGATATCCTCTGACGGATATCCTATGGATATCCATTTCATGTCCCAGGATATCCCGACCTGAAATGGACTTGAGAAGGATATCCATAGGATATCCTGTGTTGACTGGGAAGTTGAATTATTCTGAAATGTCGCTTTTTTTTTCGAGAAAACAAAAACTGCGTCTGAAAAGTTTCTTCACATTTATGTGTTGACTCAATAAAACTATTTATTATTAATAATAATATTCATACATTCAAAACGATTTCATACAAAAGATAAAATCTCAGCTATTTCCTATCCATAGCCATTTCAACCAAAGCTTTTTTAGGTATTTCACACAAATTCTAACCTGGGTGAGGGACCATAAAGATTTCATCAATAAATACATCCAACCGGTCATTGAGAAATTAGGATTACATCATATCGATGCGAAGGTAATTAGGTAAATATTATTGTTTGAAATGTGTTTATTGCAAAATTTTATTTCAAACTCACTTCGTTCTTTATAATGAAATACACGGAATATAGGATTACTTATACACTAAAACAAAAGTCATTTTAATGACAACTTGACCCCTCTTAATTTAGAAAATCTCATTTTTCTGTGAACTCGCCGAAATCACCTATGAGGAGAAATTTTGACAGTCAAGCTACCTTGATATGCTCATCCCCCTAACCCCTAGCAACTTCAAGTTTATAATTTAAAATGGAACTATCCTAAAAGGGTGCTGGACGAATATATCAGGCGTGTCGCTCTATGCACACACTCCTGAACAAACACCAGTATGCCGACCAAACTGGCAAACTGACAGATTCAGCACTACATAGAGATACTAGATTTATGCCATTCTCATAAACTGGACAGCTAGTATATCTCTTCAAGATGATGCCATCCGGTTCAAGGTTTCCAGGGGTTGCCCACAAGGCGGGGTACTATCCCTCCTTTTGATGTTACTCCTGATGAACGATTTGCTCAATGTCCTCCACAAAAGAGGGGTGGACGACCTTTATATCTTAGCAAGGACCACGACGATTGGGGTAACCTCCAATATAATATGGTTTATTCATCGAATAAATACAAATTGATATTAATCAAGTAATAACACCAACCTTAACCTAATAAGATATGTACATCCGATAGATAAACGTTATACTCACGAAATATAAGTATGTTATAATTTATAATATAATTTCAAAATATCAAAGAAAGGTGTACATAATAAAATAAGTCAATAAACATGGTGTATATAATCAGCTTACTGTAAGTAGGATTCACCAAGTGGGTATTAAATTGTGCAAAGAAAGAACCTTTGGGTCAATATTGAATGTGTATTTGTGTGTAAATAAGAAAATTCCATGAAGTTTACTTAGTGGTAACTTTGCTCTATCAGTTCATGGATTTTAGTTCTAGGGATAGATCCAATGTATTTTTTGCCCATTGTTTGAATGAATTCAACGAGGAAAGTTTCGCTACGGTATCAGGTATTATATTGAAAATCTTTGGGGGACAAATACATATATAAGTTTTGACTAATTCTTTTATTCATGTGGAGTGGTATATGTTTTCTATGTTGTCTTGTTTCATATCCGTGGTTATATGTTGTGAGTTCACTGTGGTGTTGTGTTGTATTGTTGATATGTTATAAAAGTATAATCGTCTGGGATCTAGTACATTTGCCTCAGTATAAAGCAAATCCCTATGAAATCGCGAGTTTCTTTTTCAGCCAGATATTTAAGAATCTTTGAGCAACCTCCACTCGCCTATGATATGATCTATATCCATCCTATGATTTCATCCTCCAAAGAACCTTGGATGATGTTTACAGTTAGGGCCAGAGGTAACAGATGTCTGTGAACCTTCACCAAAAAAGGAACCTGGATGATCCAAATGCCCTTTCCATTACAAATACATCAATGCACCGTTTTTGGAAATCGGTTGGAATTCGACAGAAATACTGACTTTGGTCCTTTTTCTATAGCACCATTTGAAATCGGGAGTGTACACCACCTAGCCTGAAACATTATAGAGGTGTTGCGACAAAACATTGTGGAATAATGCCAAATGCCTAATTTCAACTGATGCCCAAATACAATGCACCAATGAATTCACAATGATAAGTGGTTTAAGATGATGTGTTGGTAGTAGGGTGGTGCTATTTGAAATTTCAAGTTAGGGGGATGAACATATCGAGTTGGTTTGACTGTTTGACTGACAAAAATTATCCGCTTCAACGAGTCTTCGAATTCTAAAAAAAAATCAACCAATTTCAGGGGGAGGGGGGTTAATTTTTCGTTGGAAGACTCTGTAAACTTTGTTATGGCCAATATTTGACATTCGAGGTTGAGCAGGTTATTGTTTCCTTGAACTGCTTGCGACAATTATTGTTGTGAACGAAATAGTTTGATATCTTGAAATACCAATGATGAAATCAAGTTATTCGCGGGAATCAATGGTTCCAGGTGGCGCTCGGTTTTTATCGTTCCATGTCAATGCCACGTGAAAACTGGGGAAAAACAAACTCAATCCTCACTCAATCCCATCAGTGCCATTAGCTTGTGTACTGTGTACTGATAAGAGTGATAAGTTTTTTAATTTCTTGACATTAATAATTGTCAATATTCGATCGAAAACGCAAATAATACATGTTGTAGATGTACTTTTGGCAGATATCTCACTCTATTTAGACAGAAAAAGCCGACCAGTAGTGGAAGGAGAAGCAGTTCTCCGTGCTAATCATGTGATATTGTGTGAGGCAGAAGACTTCAACAAAAGGCACATTTTTGCATTTTGTCTACAAACTTCGGCGATGAAATCTTCCCCACATGAAGTAAAATTGAAGTTGGTTTTCAGAGGAAATCCTGTAGAACAATGGATTTGTATTTGTTTATGCAAAGCAGGACAATCTGGGTATTGTAAACATGTTGTAGCTGTTCTTTTATATATCAATTGATTTGCTCGTCATAATTAGTTTGAATTGTTTGAACTATCTCCAATTCTTCACCCGTTCACTGTTCACCAAACTGATAAAAATGTAATAATGTGAAAAAATTAACCAACTCAACCATCATCACTACCAACAGTGCCAACACTTTATGTCATTGACAAGTTTGACTACAGCTACAGCAAGCTGAATGCAATGTAGTCTATGCACTATATCCATAGACAACAGTTTGTTTTCCCCCAGTTTGAAGTTCGTATTATGTAACCTAGATGTCACCCACTCCGTGAATCTCGCGAATAGTATCTACAGTCCACCAATCATTAAAATTCTAATATAATTTATTGTGTTAGGTACATTTGGCACCTGCATAATATTTTACAACTTGCTCTAATTGAACCCGATGGTTTTAGAACGATAAATTCTCGTATACTCACTTAGAGGGTTTCGATTTTCATTGTCAAAATAAAAAAACTGTTGAATTTTCGTAACAAAAGGTTAAATTCAACATTCACACATGAAAGGTTCATTTTACAATATGTTGGAGTTGGGAATTCAATTAATATCAATTTTGTAGTTGAGAGCAATATTTTTGGACGTATTATAATGTACACATATTATCATACATAATCTTCCTTATATTGTGATGACCATCATCGTCTTTACAATTCAAAATTTTTTTCGTATCTATGAATGCTTAAATTGAATATTTGGGGTGTTGTACCGGGTCTTCAACATTAATTGAACACAACGTGACCAAAATGTGTTTGCAACCAAAACTGCACAGTTGGTAAATAAATAACTGAAAATTAACAGCTGCTATGAAAATAAAACATAGGCGTATGAGATACATCCAACATATCAGTTCGAGATCAATGAGTGAAGACTCTAGTTATTCTCCTAGTAAAGTGCTTTCCGAAGACGATAGTTCCAAATCATCATCAATGATGGGGTATTATAGTGCTGTCGATACATATTCAAATATGATTGAGCAGGCAGCGGAAGCCGAATCGCATTACCTGCTGAATACATTGTTTCAGTTGTCCGTCTACATGATCCAGTGTGGGCACTGCCCAGCTAGACAGTTTAGTCCGACCATCATTCTGGAGAAGCCTTTTCACCCAACGATTTGCATTTGGAAATGCATCATGAAATTGTTTCCGGCAGCTTTGAATTGAATATGTCCACGTTCCATCAGGGTTATGAGTACCACCTCTGAAATGTGCCATCAGTAGGAAGGCATCCATTTCACCAAAAAAAAAAACATGCTTAATCCTGAAAGGAAAATAATGACATGAACAATAAAAACAAGAGGTCTAATATTTTCACAACAATGAATTGGAGATGCAGTTCTGATAAAAACTGTTTTTCGCAAAGTATTGATTGTGAGTGAAATAATCAAATGCAAGAGCAATGAAATCAAGAACCATATAAACTATCAACAATCCCAGGAGAAAAGACAATAAAGCGCTACTGAGTGCTAATGAGCTACACCTGTGCAGTATAAAATTCGAAAACACAAACTTGAAGAGACAGATCCGCAATCCAACTTTCCTGTTATTAATTTTTGTAAAGAAGGCAAGCTATTGGCTGCTATGACAGTTGACAAGTTAAAGGCCAATCAAATTGCGAAGGACGTGAACCACAGAACGTAAACACTGGAAACTACAGCAATGAATGATCCAAGGTGCAAATATGACATATATGATGATGTTACCAGAGTGAACATGATAACAAAATGTATTGTTGGTTGCATACGAATATTAGAAGACCCGGTATGCGTACTATTCTTTGTTCATTGATTACTGATAACGAAAAATAAATACCTAACTATACTCTATTCCTGGAGAATGTATTAATACTCACAGAAACATTGGTAATATGATGGACCCATCAATAAAGAGCTCTAGAAAAGTGAAAACTTACCCTTTACCATCCATATTTATGATCACCTTGTTTCTATAGTGTTATAATATTTGGTAAACTTCTTTATAGCTAGAATTCATCAGGGGCCTAGTCGAAATATCAGTGGAGAAATTATATTCCGACTTGCCCAATTTACAATTTGATGACTTCACTTTCTCCCATTCCATTGATGAGGCTCTATGTTTTGATAAAGAGTTGAGAGAAACATATGACTATCCATCGACTCAACCTGGAGTATTAACTGTACTCACGCGAGGACAGGTGTTCATGAAGTGGATTGCTATGGAGAAAAAATGTAAGTTGGATAATATCTAAAAGGAATATTCTCAGATATATTATGAACATGAAAAAAATGGATACATAAAGAAATACATTGGGAAAACTCATTCTCGATCTGATGAAAATAGTAATTCTTTCTCGGCATATTCGACAGAAAACAACTACTTTCCTGGCTATATGCCACGACGAGTATTGAATTATATCTATCGAACACGCAAAATAAGAATTTGAAATTACAATCTTCTGAAGTTGAGAATTTGCATTCTCTTTCAGATAAAATAGTAAGTGCGAGAATTGGGTGGAATCTTATGATCACCTAATTGTTTGATTGAATGTGTGATCAAAATTTATGTGTTTGAAAAGGAAATTAAATATCAAAATCGATTAAGACTTTTTGAGTTATTTGTCCACCTAGCCTTACCACTTGAGGATTTTATGTTCATAACTAACTTTTCATCATCACTTGTAAAACTTTCAATTTAAATTATGTTACTAGTATTGGCAACCATCTATATTATTATGTTTATATTCAGAACTTTACGCATTTCGAAATAGAAATTGAAGAGAAATTTTAAAAAGAGAGTATAATTACAATTGTTTTATAAGATATTTGTCACAATCGTTCCTGTGTTACAATCATAGAGGGTCGTTTGAATCTTTCATAAAAATCTATTATCAATAATCAGATTGCTCTCGACCATACAGGAGGACCAAAAGTCCGTCGGCCCCCTAGTACCTTTTCAGCTTCTTAACAAAAAGATTTTGATTGCATAAAAGGTTTTATTCGATCACTTCGATGGTTTGAGTTTCATTTAAGCGAAGTGCAATGACTTATAGGTTTTTTTAACACCCTATATATCAGGTATTATTAGATTCTAGGTCGAATTCTGAAAAAGTTTGGGAGTTTGTTTTATATCACAAAAAATGGTAGTTTGGTATTATGGACGCTTGTAAATTATTATCTCGACTATGTTCGCACCAGTTCAGTGAGAACACCGTAACAAATGGAACACAACACAATGTATTTCACTTTCATATCCCAACACTTTGAAAGATTTCAATATTCGAAAAGGATCGCATTCTCTTTGATAAAAACTAATGTAACTTTTTTACGGCAGTACGGCACTGGCCACATTTTATATTTCAAAGAATGTCAAAATCAGTTATCTCACGTCTTTCTAACTGCAGTTTTTTCTTTCTGGGTTTTCGAGATAAATAACAAAATTAAATTTGGAGCTTCTCCATACGACTCGTTTATGATGTTAGGGTTGTTCTGCTCGTTTCTACCTCATTTGTGTTGAGTTATTGGCTGCAATAATAATTTTTACCAATTCGCATCATATGATTTGGGAGCTGGACATTTCGAAAATTCAGTTCAAGATTTCTGGTAAAAAAACTGTATTCGGGAAAAAAATAAATGAATTTGAAGATGACCAACAACATTATCATAATAATATGCTGAAGTAGTTCATAAACATGATTATTGTGGTCAATAGCTCAACACAAATGAGTCAAACACTTGCAAAACATGATATGGAAGAGCACCATAATGAATTTTGTATATAAAAACATTGCAGTTTGAAGAAGTGAGCAGATTGATTTTGTCATCCATCGAAATATCAAAATTTGGTTCCGTAGTCCAAAAAAAGTTACATTAATGTTTATCAAAGAGAATGCGAAATACATAACTCCTTGTATATTGGTTGAATTGGTACGACATGTTTTCCATACACATTCACTTAAGTAAATCGCCCTATGAATTTCAGAGCAGTGCCTTTCAAGGATTCCGGAATATTGAAGAAAATCTGGAAATAAAATTGTTCTTCATCGCACTCTCATTTTCATATCCCTTACACTCCCGAGAACAATTTGGAAAGTATAGCCGGAATTTTTCTAGCAGGTGTGACTCAAAGTGACCTCAGAAACTTCCTGATTTTTTTTCGATTTTTTTCAGGATGATGTAATATTATTTTCAGGACCCTCACGATCGTGTTATTTGAAGAAATATGCATTCATTGTTTATGGTTTGTTATGAAAGGTGACTAAACAATCACTTTCATTGTTCAAGCACAGGCATAGGCGTACATTGCATTTTTAACATCTCGTTCTTGATCGGATTTCGGATAATCAATGACAGGCCAGTGGTCAATTTCATCATGTCGTTTGTCATTTGTTGAAATAGAAGCTTCTCTATTTGCAAGAAGAACGGTTGGTTTATTTTCATTTTCATCCACCCACTCAACAAATATTCCTCCGGCACTTCTACCTATTCATGTGCATTCAACGTCCACTGGTCATCTTTATCGGAATCAATTTCCAGATCTAATCCTATCTGATCCAACAAATCGTAAATTTCATCTTGACCTTTTTGCAATTCAAAGTTCTTGGAATGGAAGACAGTTTTGACACACTGGAATGTTTATCAAAATCGATAATGATCATTGATCCGTAGCGGTAAACATCCGGAGCACACAAACGTGATGGTACATATGTCCTGAAATCTGATCCCGAAAAAAATTTTGGAAACAGCCACTGTGAACTACCATGTTGAATCATGTTCTCATTTGCCATTCAATGCATACAATCATTCACAATATCATATATAGATGATGTTTTTGATTCACTCACCTTAATGCCCGTACAATTGTGAGGGTATAGAGGTAAGTTGATTTCAATCGGTCTAATTTGGTCTCAAGTCCACCCTGTAGATTTTATGGTATTTTGCTCTGGGACACTTTGTATATTCCAAGCATCATTATCGATTATATTTCAGATGCTACAGAAAAAATGGATGCAATGCTTCCTCCGAACGCTGTAGATGCTTTTGATCCTCTCACGTCTGACGTCGAAGATTTGAAAATAACAACTTGTGCAGACGCCTTTATCACATTGTTACAAACGATAATGGAGAGATACGAAGCTCTACCCCAACCGGGCCACAGGTTGCAATTTCTGGAATTGCAACTCGAACTGTTAGACGATTTCAGAGTGAGACTGTTGCAATTGGTAAATGCTGAAGAAGGAAATATTGTAGAATCTAGGATTCCGTCGATAGCTAATAGTATTTATTATATAGAAAATGTCTTGTTGGATTGGGGTACTATGCTAGTAAGTATTAGGTAGATTAGACAATTGCTCAAGGTTTTATATTTTATGTAAAATGATTTATTTAAAAATCGTAGCAAAGCATTTTTGACTATATGTACAGGCTGTCCCTTACGGGATATCTCACTTATATTTAAAGATGAGATTTGCGGTTATCATATCTATGCTCTGTTTTACCATCAGCAATACTCTCTCATGGAAAAATCATGTCCGATATATCGCAAAAGCTGCTTCATAAAAACTCGGATCTTGTTCCATGCGAAACTCAACAGCTTCTCATCATCCACAAAGCACAGATACGGCCAGTTTCAGAATACTATTCTCATGTATGAGGTTCAGTACCCAAACTTACGCTGATACTCTTAGAATCCATACAGAGAAGAGTCATCTCGCCTGATGGGTGATGTCACACTCACTTACTCTTTGACCCCATTAGAACACCGTAGAAAAGTTTGTGACCTTTCTCTTTATAGATACTTCCACGGGAAATATTCCTCAGAAATCTATGCTATAATTCCATCCCTAGCAATACCAGTCAGACGTCGTCGTTAACCTTGAAAAATGTCGAGCAACACCCTACCAAAACTCGTTCGTCTATAGAACGGCGAAGCTTTGAAATTCTTTGCCAATAGAAACATTCCCAAGAACTTATGACCTCCAGAAGTTCAAAAAAATCCTACAACTACCTCCTCTCCCTATCCTCCCTAAGTATGGCTTGCCTCCCCAGCTATGTATTCTCTGCTAGCTAGTTTTTTCTCGACGGAGTTTCATCTGACTCTCTTATCATAAATGCTGGTGTTCCGCAAAGATCAACTCTAGCACCAACACTATGTCTACTCCATATCAACGATTGGTTGGAAGCAACTTCATGTCCAGTACACAGCTTCGCGGGTGACCAGCAAGGCAAATCAGAAACGAACGAGGAAGAAATGTTGACAACATAAATATGGACTTGGCAACAATTCTCGAATAGGGATCCAATAACTTGGTAGATTTCAATGCAAACAAAACACAAGTATGCCTTCTCTAGAAAAGCCGATCTCACTGTGCCCAACATAAGCTTGTCAGGAGTAACCATACCTTTGAAGACATCCATTTCGATGCTTGGTATTACTATCAGCAATAACCTTTCTCGGGAAAATCACGTGAGATCAGTTGCTAAAAGTGCATCCCAAAAACTTGGTTTTCTGTTTCGGGTCAGGAGCTATTTCACTTCCAGTCATCTGCTAATGATCTATAAGGCACAGATCCGACGTGCCCTGGAATACTGTTCCCATATTTGGAGTGCAGCACCCAAACATGCCCTGAAACTGTTGGATTCTGTCCAAAAAAGGGCAATTCGTCTCGTGGGTGATGCCTCGCTCACAAACTCACTCACTTCTCTGGAACACCGTAGAAAAGTTATCGATCTGGCTCTATTTTATAGATATTTTCATGGACGATGCTCTTCTGAAATATTAACAATTGTTCCTCCCTTGGCAGTCCCCGCGAGATTAACCCGTCAAGTTGAGGCTTCGCACCCCTTCGTGGTCACTTTGGAGACCTGCAGAACATCTCTTTCCAAAGAGTCGTTCATCCAACGAACAGCGAGGCTCTGGAACACATTGTCAAGGGAGGTGTTCCCCGAGGCATATAACCTCTAGCAAAGATCATACATACCCTAGATAAGCACCGTAAATGTAAGAATGGGCAACGCTAAATTGGGAACGAACAGGGCGGTGATAATCCGCTGTGCGCATCTATTTATTATAAAGCCGCGTATTCCACCGACTCGGATAATAATATTTGGTCAACGAATAGCACAGCCGATTAGCCGCCGGTCTGTTAGTTCCCATCGGAGCGTTGCCAATTTTTATACAGGCGTTGACTATCTAGGGTATGTATGATCTTTGCCTCTAGTAAATTAAGAAGAACACCAATTCCTACCTTATTTCCCTTGGTTCTCACGATGTTCTCTCAACATTACAGGATATCTTTTTTAGTGGGAACCAGAACATAAAAAAAATGCACGATGTTCCAGGAACATTATAGGAATTCCGTTTCGTGCGCTCTAAGATTTTTTTTTTGTGAAACTCGCGATACCGCAAACAAGATTTTCCTAGCCTGTTTCATTTTTCATAAACAGCAAATTTGGAAATGTTGCATTTTAGGACCCCTCTGCAGAGGCCTTAGCTAAGGCTAGCACTCAGGCGAGACAATAGACAGTTTTTCGCCGAGGTGCATATTACATTTTTTTGTTGACCTAGAACACTTTATTCACATCAGACTTTAAATCTAACGGATTTCGTGAATAATCAATTTGAAAATAGCAAATGGCAGTTGTTCTCGACTCACTCTCCGCGCGGACCAGGGTTGCCAGTTCGATTCTTATTCCATCAGTAAATACTTTGTCAAAAATTCAGTAGATTTCAATAGATCTGTTTAAGATCTACTATATGTTATACGAATTCCAAGGAAGGAGAATGAAATAAACCTATGATGTCAAAACATTATTTACTTTTAGTAAACAGTAAAGTAACCTATTTACAACAAAACAGAAATAAACAAAAATGGTCATATTCCTAATTCTCAATTCAACAATACTTACAAATATCACAAAATACAGTTACATTGATACTTTTAAGATTTGAGTGGGTATATAAAAAACAGGAACGAATAGTAAAAAAATTAACAAAAATACAAAACAAATAAAAGATTAATAATAATATAGGAAATTATAGTAATAAAGTAATAAATAAGTGTCAACATATTTTTCAGTAGAATATAAAATGTTTCAGATCTGTAGATCAATATGCAGAAATGATATTACTCACTGCAGGAATTTCTGAATGATACCTCTGACTAAGATCTACACATTACAAATCATGAGAGTAGTAGGTAGTCTAATTTGCATTATATGCTAGACCACACTGTACAGTATAAGATCTGTTATTTTAATAAGCAAATGATGAAATTATTTTTTAAAGAATGTGACATTGTAAGTCCGGATTTTATTTTATTTTATTTTTACATTATTTTATCATACGAACCAGGTTCTTATTGTACCAATAAGTGAACTAGCTCATCTGTGAGGTGTCCCATAATGTATTGTACTTACCTGTATTGTGAGAGGGGAGATCTACTGAAAATTCAGTAGAACTGGTAACCTTGCAATGGACCAAAAGTGTTTGCGGACAAAAAGTTAATGTCTGCGGACGTTTTTCGTCCGGAAATTAGAACGTAAAATGTGTTTTTTTGTGTAAGTCCACGAAAAACTTATTTTTGTAGCATTTATAAAATGTTATATTATCATTATGATTCATCAAACCTTGACCTCTAACTTAAAAAAATTATAACTCAAATGTTAAAATCGATTATGAACTTAACCTTTTCAGTCAATAAATGAAATAATATTAATACAAAATAGAATTGTGTTGTAAATTCGACTAGTGCTTACAACCCCATTGTATTGAGGAAAATATTTTGATGTATGTTGCATAAAACCAACTTTCTTTCAGCACTATTTGAACTTATATTATTATAAAAGCCAATTGGAAAGTGAAAAGCAACCAACTACACAATTTACTGATATCGACGATGATCCTCTGTATGAAATAGAAACGGACACAGTATTCGCAGAGACTCTTTCCCTTTATAGGCATATGAGAAATGATTTATTGCATACTCTAGCAGAAATTGTGATTGCCGAAGTTAAGACACGAAGTAAAGCATATCGAAGTGAAAGGTTAGTAGACATTTACTTATTATTATTTAATCTTGTCAAACTAAAATCGTCTCCTTCATGATTTCTATGGACATCAGTCACAGATAATAATTGGAAGAAAAAGTCAGTAACACACTATTCATGAAATTGAAGATCACTCCAAGAAAAAAAACATTACCAGAGAAAGTCACATTGATGACTGTAAAGATGTTTCTTCGCATCTATTGTATATTCTTGTAATCGGTAGTTCATTATCTTCTTCAGAATTTTAGATATAACTGGGAATGTTGGAACATCCATCTTATTTCTCTGACCATTTTTGTAGACTAGTCTAAATTGGGCAATTTTGATTTTATCTGCTATAGGCGATTCAAAATAAGCGATACGGTCTCTTGCGGATATTCAAGATAACCAATGGAAAGTACATTGAATGTTTGTTTACATTCAAGCTTCCATGCATTTCATCGAAAGTTCAGTCGTGATATTTTTCGAGTTTGAATTCTTCAGTAGAAAATCTCTCATTGTTGCTTGGTTTCACATGTTATTCATGAAAGTTTTCTGCATTTCACAGAAAATGATGATTTCAATCAGTGTATAATTGGAAGATATTCACTCAACTTCGAGATTGAATTCAGTTGCATTTTATTCCCAGAAGTGAAGTTACAGAAAGAATTTGAAAAAAAAAAGAAATCAAACCATATAATATGTTCAATTTTTCCTACCAGATAGATCAATTATTCACACATACATCCAGCTTTGAGGACTTCTTCTCTTTCATATAAACACATGTAAGTAGATGATTCGACTACAATATATACAAATACATCTCAAATACCCATTATGTGAACTTCAACATCATATTCACTCCACTTATTTTGCAATATTCATTTCACTTCTGAATGGGAACGAAATGCAAACTAATGTAAATTGGGGCATTTGTATTCGAAGTAGTGAAACACACTTTATTGAACGAAAATCTGTTGAAAAGCTACTTTGATTCACAAGAGTACACAAATAAACAGTCAAAAGGGAAGTTTTCTTTGCCCAAATCACTACCAAAAAATTAAATAATGCACACAAGCATTTGAACCATTTCAAATCAATGCACTTTCATGTAGCTCACAACCGGCGACTGTGGCGCTGTGATCTCAAATTCAGTCGCCTATTACTCCTAACGTAAATGTTGAATTGATTATTTTATTAAGCCTTGAATATGATTGAAAAGACAAGTAGATAAATTATCCATGTGCCAGTATTTTAGTAAATAAAAACTAAAGTATCTGTTTTGAATAACTTTTCACAGAATTTTAATGAAAACATGTAAAAACATAAAGGTAGATGTCATGTTTCCATTTTCAGTGATTCTTTTTTCATAAAAAATATTGTCACATACTTATTACTTCAACATAGGTGTAAACTGCAGTCAAAATCCCATGATAACAACTTCGATTTTGAATGATATACAGCGTGTCTACTCAAGTTGGCTACGTATCGGAAACTTTTTATTATTAATTTTACGAAAAAAAGTTATTCTTCGTGAAAAGTTCTGCATGGTGAAAAACCAAAAATGCGAGATATCATTTTTTGTTGTTGTATACGAGGTATGTCAAGAAACATTAATTTTGCTCAAGACGAAAAAAAATTGTTCTAAAATTGTTCTTATCCATCATTCGGTTGCCCCCTTACGAGCAACCCTCAGAAGTCTTCAAGAGACTTGTGCGAGCAAGGAATGACGGGGGTCTTACCTTTTAACGTGTGATCCCAAACACTTTCTTAGGCCATCAAACATGGATAGAACATTGACGCTCTAACCACGAGGCTACGCTGGCCGAAAGTACCTTTATTTTCGACAATATCGAAAATTGTTATCGAAAAAAGTTGACTAGAATTGAAAACTACGTTCAAATATCTAATAACATCTGTCTACGAAGAAAATCAGGTTTTATTAAATCTGATATTAGCATTCTCGGTCTTGGCCTTGCAGAACTTTTTATGAAAAATTACTTTTTCGTAAAGTTGATGATAAAACTTATCCATATTATGAATCGATCAGAAATTGATTAGATAAATGAACTTTCTTCATAATAATTTTCGAATTTGTTAAAAATACAGGTACCTTATTCTTGAGCAAAATCAATATTTTTTGACATACCTCGTATACGACTGGAAAAATTAGATATCTGGTATTTGCATTTGCGGTGTTAGGCAATGCCATGTTTCGAGAGAATTTTTCATAGTGGAAAATTTTATGATTGTTTGAAATTTATCTAACATAACTTCACTTTTTGAATACAATCATGTACCGCGATATTTGTGGATGAAGGATTCTAAGAATTGGCATGGATTATTATTCTCACATTCAATTCGTAAACTAATATGTGTGCATAAACCCTTTCATCAGCTTATAACTTCATTTAGTACGATAGAAGAATGAGACACGTAACGAAAATTCTTTGAACTTGTACTTTGGTCAGGAAAATGTCACATACATTTTTCATCCACTTATGTCATCAATTCTGATATCACTGCCATAACAGATTTTTAAAAAATGTCATCAAATCCTGGAGATTTTCTGTTATTCGGGCTGTTGATGGCACCGCCAATTTCATGTTCATCTTATCAAATTTTGGTCATGATCATATTTACAAAAATACATACATCCTGTTTGGTTTCTCTTGGCTGATAACGGGATAAAAGGTAAACTGATTTCTAGTCTCTATTTGATAGATAGTTACTTTGTTTCTTTTCCCTTATAGTATTTTAAATATCAGCGTATACTTGGGATATTTCTGTTCCATATCATTTTCTGTTAATATATGTCCCACCATTTTCATGAGTCTAGGTAATTTTTTATCAAACCGAAGTTTTGAATCTCAATTTTTCAGTACAGAAATATCCTTAGTCAGCGGTTCACAACCTTTGGTACATGTACCACTGGTGCTGTTGCTACATATTATTTATTTTCGCGGTGGCACACAAAAACTGACTGAAAGCAAAAACATACCTAAAATCAGCATCATATAAAATAAAATAAAAAAAAGAACTCCACGAAATAAATAAATAAATACTTCGAAAAATCTAAAATAAAGGAGCATTGGCAGCACTGATAATCTTGTAATCCCTTGGTTAACATTTTAGCATGTTAATCACAATCAATTAAATTGCCTAGATAGGTATTTTAGTTAGCTGGTTAGCAAATTAAAAAAAGGATTTTGTGGTTCATTATTCAAAAAGGTTGAGAATCACTGTCGAAGTAAATTTTATATGTTCCTTAATTCCTTATCTTGCAAATGCTTGTGAAATGGATGTTATCACATGCTCTACATTCTGTAAGGTATAAATGCTTCACATTTGTATTCGAAATTACACGTTGAAATAGTTATTTTTGTATCTAGAGCGCGAAATGCTACTTTGGTGATTGAGATCTGATTTTTTTAACGAGGCGTAGCCGAGTTAAAAAATAGTCGAGATGACCAAAGTATTTCGCGCTCGAGTTGCAAACAACATTTTTTCTACAAACGTCAAAAAATATATAGTTCCGAAGTACAAATATGCTCTGCTTGATATAAAAAATAGTCTTGAACTGGCTCAAAAGGCCTTCCCCTTTCCTCCTTAGGTACGCACGATGTTCCACGAACAAAATAGGAATTTTCTTTCGTGCGCTCCAAGAGATAGAACAAAGTTACTGTTGAACATTCAGAAATAAATGATTTCGTGGATGTTTGCTCGATTGAGGACCATAAAGTTGAAATATAAATATCTCATATATTTTAAATTACAATGCGCGAAGTAGGTACTTCGCGCACTGTTTTACTTCGCGCATTGTTTTGTGCTAGGTATCATGGTAACGTAGGAAACTGAAAAAAAGTGTCACTTCGCAATTTGTTATCAATGCGCGAACCTTGTCATTTTTTGACGTTTGTAGAAAAAAATCTTTTACGATATCTCCATAGTAATCCGCATACTATTGGCACATTCAACTGACATCGTAGTACTACATTGTCACATGACTAACCTTAACATGCAAACTGCCAGACGTCCAAACATTTATGTTTCATGTTATGTGTCTCACTGAATCATTGAAATAAAGTTTAGTTTTTCCCTCCGGCTGTTGAAGTAGTACCATGTAAAAATGCATTTTATTTATTCTTCCATCTCCAAATAAAAAGTAATGAAACAAGAGAAATTACATTCATCGATCAGATCAAAATCAGAAATATTGTAGCCTTGATTCGGAACATCTCGCAAACTTTTTGTTTAAATGGGAGAAAAGTTGCGCGAGTGAAGGAAGGACCAACAAAATAACTTTCAAAAATCTCTGATATGACTTCGATTTTGAGTTATTCTCAAAATAATTTTCAATATTATTTTTTTCTGGCGTTGATAATTAAGTTATAACAAAACTGGAAAAACATCTTCGTGTCAACTTTTGCTTCTTTTCAATTTGGCATCATCTATTTTCCGATCCAACGTTTCGTCTATGAGTAACCATCAACCATTTTTTTTTCAAATTCGGTCCTGATATTTTGATATTGGATTCGAATAGCCCTTTTCATTCTGATTCCGACGATATGCTACATATTTTGGTTTTTGATACGTTTCAAGCTTATTTTGACCATTATCATGTAATTTTTTGAATACGGACCTGAATTTTTCATAATTCTGTGGAAAAAAGGTTCATTCATCAGATTGAACATTCAACAATGCCACATTAACATCAATACCCATTTTAGAATACCTCAATAATCAATAATTCAATAAAAATTAACAGTAAAGAAATAAACAGATGCACATATCGAAAACTTTTTTGAACGTAAAAACTATTAGATACGGAATTAATGAATTCACAATATATGTTCAAAAAGATTGCCATTGCTTTTTAAGCCTGCATAACCTCTTCTTACTGTAGAATTTGAAACATTATTCAGAATTCCTACCGTTATACTCCAAAATGCTTCAATAACCAGTATTCTGAGTTCTTCCTCTGTTTTAAAGGCTCGCTCATAAACATAGTTCTTGACATATCCCCAGAGAAATCTCTAGCACCTCTCGAGTTATGTGCACACTATCCTGCTGGGTCCTGAACTTCTGCCAGTGTCAAAAGATCGAGGGCTTCCTCCATATAATTTTGGAGTGAATTCGAATATACCTCTTTCACAGAATTATGAGAAATTTAGGTCCGTATTCCAAGAATCACAATATGTAGCATATCGTCGAAATCAGAATGAAAAGGGCTATTCGAATCTGATATGATATATAAACGAATCCTTGGATCAAAAAATCGATGATGCCAAATTGAGCGGCATCAAAAGTTGCCATGAAGATTTTTTTGCAGTTTTGTCATAACTTCATTATTAACGCCAGGAAAAAATAAAATTGAAAATCCAAAAATCATTTTTTTGGAAATAATTCGAAAACGAAACGTCTTATCTGAGATTTTTGAAACTCATTTTATTGGTTCTTCACTCGCGCATTTAATCAAAAATGTATCTCTTGTAGTTGATAAAAATGACATATTTTGAGATACATCTTTATTACAGATGGTCAGCTATGAAGGCAGAGAAAGAGTTTCGCAGTCTTTCCTTGACTCCAACTGCCTGCCCCATGTTTGAAACTTTATCGAAACGTCTACACCAGCTGCAGAAAAGTCTGCAAAGTAAATTGTTTACTATCATTTGGCATTGTGTGGCTCAACAGATGGATACATACTTGTTCGAAGATTTGGTCTTGGATAATAGATTCAGTGAAGGGGGAGCACTCCAGTTCAAGTTTGATATCACTAGGAATTTGGTCCCTTTATTCTCACAGTTCAGTGAGAGGCCTCATAACTATTTTTCACAGTAGGTTGAAAAACTTTTGCAAACAAAATGTTCCATGTAAAGCATATATTTTCTATGTTAAGGTGAATTAGGTGCTGATTTCTCATTCATCGTCTGATTTGTAAACCGCACTAAAGGCCGAAATAACTGAAGTCATAGAGGTTTGGGAAAAAATACTGTCGGGGTCAAATATGTCTGGGACTTCGTCTGATCTTCAAGTTCACAGGGATGTTCATTATGATATTTTTTCATATTAGTTTAGGGATTTTCAATTCGAATTTAACGATACTGGGGTACGTCAAACTATTATCAGTATGAAATGATCTATTTGGTGACATCTCTTGCTCATCAAACTCGATATTGTTCAATTGGTATTGATAATCCCTAACTGAATATGAACAAATATGTGGAGTGTCCTATTTAAAATGAGGATGATAATATGAGTTAAAAAAAAGTGAATGTGGTAACAGTGGGTATGTCATTTTAACATTAAACATATTATACATATAACCACCCTCTAATTTGTATTCAATCTGTTGAACATATCCCGACATATTTGACCTGTTGCCCAACCATCTATATCAAATAGTGCATTATGCTATGACATTTCATCTAGTATATAATATATACTTATATTTCGTTTCAATATATCATTAAAAATGTCAATGCGTTCTCCGGTATCAAAACATCATCATTGCTGTAAGTTCAGTGAATAATGATCTGCGGATTCCGAGGCTATGTCTTGAATCTTATAAGGTAAATTTAAATCAATGTGTATTTGAATTGTATGCATAAGGGGTGAATACACTGCGACCTAAATGATTTATTGTGCCCCCTTCTTTTGCTATCCCCAAATTTTGTTAGACAAGAAATATGAATGTGAGATATTTATTACTTTTGATTTAAAAATATGCAGCGATGTAGTTTAAAAGTTGATGAGTATATTATGTAGGTCATAGGTTCATTATCATTTTCAATTTTTTCATTTTGATCCTATTTGGTGGTTTGAAATGTGCATTTTTTTATTTTTCTAGGCTCATTGAATCATGCAATCTTCTGAACGTCAGTAAAGGTAGTGCCTTATTGCTAAGAGAGACTATCATTGCTCTAGAAGGGGCCACCGGAGTCGAAGATACTAGAGGCAAAGCACTGAAGGAAATTGGTGTGGACCATTTCACTCCAAAAATGGCTGTTCGGATTTTGAATCAAAGAGCTGACATTACAGTGAATAGGATACTAATTGATTAAGGCAAGAAAATGGTTTTAATAATATAATGTATCTGTGATTAAGTTATTGTTTGTAAATGTTTATTCAGATGAAATATATATTATTTTTACTTATTAAATTTATATTTTTCCTCTTCTGAAGTGGCGATGCCGTACTGTGTTGGAAATCGAAAAAAAAAAGAATGACATATACACACTACACACGTGCAGGGTGGGTAGGTCCAGCCAACATTGTTACGTCTCTGAGATGTACGCGTGTTACATATCCATGTTATTGGAACTATATCATTTACCAAGATAACTGAGATCGCACTATGATTTCAATGAAATATAGGCCGCTCGCCTATATTTCCACATTATTGTCGATTCCAGTCATCACATGGCTATTCGATGAATATCCATTGGACACGTACCATTTTGGATATTTGGGATATCCAGAGAACATTCACTTGATATCCGATGTATATTCTATATGGACGTCCAATGTATGTTCCGAGTATTTGCATTCTCCTTCAGATGAAAATATATATGCACATAATATAATTTTGAATATTCAACAGAAAACAACTACTTTCCTGGCTATTCGCCACGTCGAACATTGAATTAGGTATATCTGTTGAACATCCAGAAGGCGAACATGAAAATAAAAATCTTCTGAAATTGAGAATTGACCCTCCTCAGTAACCGCAGAAATCCAGTTATTCTTTCAGCTATCCTTCACGAAATACACAATTTTCATCTCTATAATATAACTGAAACTATTACAAACTGACATCTGATCAGAGTTTGAGGTTTAATTCTGTAATTTATCAACCCATTCAGCAATAAAATCATGACGATTACTTTTTGATTTACTTCTCAATTCAATTTCACTAGCTACCAAAGTACCTTCGTCTATGCTTACTTCTAAAGCAGCTTATTTCAATGCATGTTCCATTTGAAGAAGTTTCACTTGATTATCAATTTTCCTCTGTCTTGATTCCAACTTCTGTCTTTCCTTTTCTGTTTTAATCGCAAGTCTCTTCTTTTGGAGATTGAAGGAAGCTGAAGAACTTTCTGTTCTCGTAGATTTTCTAGATTAAGATGCATGAGATCTGCTGTTCATATTCACAAAGTGTCTCCTTTCCATCGTGCCGTAACACGGATATATAGTTATTTGGAAATTAATATTAGAATGGGGAATTGGGAAAGACCACTGAGGAGGGAAAAAATCCGTGCAAACCTCTTTCAATTGACGAAACATGATTCACGTTTGATGTACAATCAATATTATGAGTTGAAGTTGAAGGAAATCGAATCTCTATAGCGTTTTGAAATCAGCATATTGCATTCGATATTTCAAAAAGCCAAATATGATGGTGGAGCCGTGACGTATTAGTCCCGAACTGTAGCTATATCTCTCTGATACCTCGCCATTCTGCAGTGTTGCAGTGTGATTGGTCAGCTCAAGGACAATAGGCGTGTTTTGGGACCAAGACGTCGCACCAGTCACGCCAATGAATTGACACTATTTTTTTGTTTTTTTTTTTTTTTATTTTTTTTTTGAATTGACTCGGCCGTTACTTGATGGAAATGCAAAAACTTCACAAACGATAAGATTTCCACAAAATTTATTGAACACACGACATGTTTCGCTAACACAGTAGCTTCGTCAGGTGAAATACTAGTACAATGAACTGTTCATTGTACCAGTATTTCACCTGATGAAGCTATACTGTGTTAGCGAAACATGTCGTGTGTTTAATAAATTTCGTGGAAATCTTATCGTTTGTGAATTGACACTATTTCGAATGATGCAGGAATTGTGTGTTTTGGAATGGACATATTCTATTGAAAAGGAATATTCCCTGATAAAATTATGAACATAAAAAAAATGGATATATTTATGCAAAGAAATACATTGAGAATTCGTATATTATTCTCTATGTGATGAAAATATCAATTCTTCCTCGATTTATTCAACAGAAAACAACTACTTTCCTGGCTATATGCCACGACGAACACTGAATTATATCTATTGAACACACAACACGATAAGAATTTGAAAACAAAATCTTCTGAAGTTAGGAATTTGCATTCATATAAAGTTATTGTTACGACCCTGGCAATCGATCCCAGCTACCTGCGGAAGTAAATAAACCGTATTTCTTGGAATAGAAATCGACGGCTGTTGAGATGACTCGAGAAGATTATCGACCTGTTTACGATATTTCGAGTGGAATCTAGACGTTTTATTAGGTAGTATAAATAGTTGTTGTTAGGGACAGGAAGGGAAGTCATTATTTGGAAGCGTTATAATAACGATCGAAGAAGTGTTGTGAATCGGAAGTGTTTAGTACGAGTATTGTAATTATTGTATAGTAGTGTTCAGAATAAATCGTTTCAAGTGTTCTACCGAGTGTTAAATTATTACGGACCCAGAGTAAAATCGTAACAGTGGTGTCAGAAGTGTGGATTTTCGAGGACATTTGAATACGTATGGTGAATACAAGGAGTACGTCATACGACACGATGGAAGACAATATAAAATTCATGAAAAATCAGTTCGCAGAACTAGAGAAACGACGACAGGAAGATGCGAGAAACGACGACAGGAAGAAAAACTAGAAGAAGAAAAACGTCGTCAAGAAGAGTTACAGAAAATTCTAGAACATCAAGAAAAAGAACGAGAACATCAAGAAAAAGAACGAGAACATCAGAAAATCTTCTTCGAACAAATTCTGCATAAAACTGATAAGCAAATGGATGAGTTGAAGACAGATGTCACCAGAATTGATGACAAGCTTAACCAGGAAGTTTCAAGAATAGATTCCATGCTCGATGCAATCGAAAGAAATGTAGCGAATCAGATCACCTCGCTACGAAGTCAAGATCGCCGTGACAGAGTTGCCACATCGGGTTCTTCCGTGAAACCACCAACTTTTGATGGACAGTCGCCTTGGTCTATGTATCACCGACAATTTGAGGCTGCAGCAAGTGCAAATGGGTGGAGTGACGAGGAAAAAGCTACTGCACTCATATGTAGCTCTGAGAGGACCAGCTTTGGGGATGTTACAGTCGATCCCAGTTGAACAACAAAACCACTTCGGAGATTTAGTGGCTGCGCTAGAACTCAGGTATGGTGACCAACATCGAGAACAGCTTTACCGGGCTCAGATGAAAAATCGTGTGCAGAAGTCTGGAGAGAGCCTACAGGAATTCGAAGCAGATGTGAGAAGACTGACTCAATTAGCCTACCCAGGGGCACCAGAGGACTTCAAAGAACAACTGGCGGTGCAGGTATTCATCGACGGGCTGAGAGACTCAGAAATACAGAAGACTCTGAGGCTTACACACTTTAAGAGGAGTGGTGAAGCCCTAGTAAGATCTCTGGAGGTAGAAGCGGCCTTCAACACCTCTAGGCCAAAAGTGAGAGCTGTGTCCATCGAGGAGCCTTCCGAAGACGTGGACCCAGTGGCGAAAATGTTGAGAAAAGTGCTTGAGGAACTCAAAGAAATTAAGAGTGGGCCTAGTTACCAGCGAAATAAATCCTGCTATCGCTGTGGCAGAACTGGACACCTGATAAGGGACTGTAAGGTGAGAGTACCACCACGATCTTCTTCACCTGCAAGGACGCCACCACGGTCGTACTCACCTGCGAGGACTAGGTCATCTAGTGAGTCCTCAGATAGATACCAGGAAAACTAGAACTAGCCAGCGTATCGGGGCGCATGCTGGCTAGTAATAACGAAGCCCCCAGGGTCATAAACATCAAAAGGATAAGAAGAACAACTGATAGCCTGACCATCAAAGGAAAAATCAACCAAATGGATGTAACCTGCACCATAGACACCGGTGCATCAGTTTCCCTGGTACGCAGTGACATTCTCCGGCCTGGAAGTATAAAACCAACCACTTCCAACTTTGTTCTTCGTACGGTCACTGGAGAAAATGCACCTATACGAGGGATGGCTGATATCGAGTTGACGCTTGGAAGACTCCATATAGTGAACATGGTATACGTCGCAGATATCGAAGATGAGTTTATCCTCGGCATGGATCTGATAAGCGACTACGGGTTTTCATTCGACAGTGATCAGAAGATCATGAAATTTGGAGGAGAAGAGTTTGTACTAACGACACCGGCCGAGAGAGAGACGTCAGTGAGGCTACGACTTGCGAGGACTGTGAGAATTCCTGGATTCACTGAGAAGATCATCCATGCGCGATTAGAAGAGGACCCTGGGTGCTGCGTTGGATTAGTACAGTCATGTGAGGAATCCCCCAGCAAGCTGTTACTTGCCCGAGCTTTAGTGACCACCGAACGAGACATTCCTGTGAGGGTAGCAAATGTTTTACCTACCACCATAACAGTAAGGGAAGGAGATATTATCGGAGCTTGTGAACCAGTCAGTTGGGTAGCAAAATGTGATGAGACTAACGAGCAGAGATGGAGGGAACGAGATGACAGTGCATTGAAAGTTGTGGAAACCTCCTTGGACCACTTATCACCAACAGAATATAAAGCTGCCAAGAAATTCATAGCAGACGAAAGTGATATCTTTGAATCAACATCAACAGGGCGGACGAACTTGGTCAAGCACAGAATAGATACTGGTAAAGCTCACCCAATTCGGCAACCACCAAGAAGAATGCCATTTGCTAAGCAACAGGAGGTGGAACAGCTGGTTGACAAAATGATGAAGGATGGGGTAATTGAAGAATCATCCAGCCCTTGGTCTGCTCCGGTTGTATTAGTGTCCAAGAAGGATGGATCCACAAGATTCTGTGTGGATTATAGGAAGCTCAATGACGTCACCAAGAAGGATAGCTACCCGTTACCAAGGATTGATGACACTTTGACTACATTGGCTGGCTCCCGATGGTTTTCGACACTGGACTTGAAGAGCGGATACTGGCAAGTGGGCATTCACGAAGAAGATAAGGAGAAGACTGCTTTTACGACTGGTAATGGACTGTACCAGTTTACTGTGATGCCTTTTGGACTATGTAATGCCCCAGCAACCTTCGAAAGGCTGATGGAA